TTTGAACCAATAATTTCTATATTTAAAACAAATACAATTTAATTGATTCAAATATATAGTAATTATTTGATACAAATAAATATTTATTTGATAATAGTCAAGTAATCGAGTATTTGAATCAAATAAATTTTTTTTTTCAGTGCGGTGATTATTCATGCGTCCCTATTCAAAATATTTCCAAATACAATATTTATTGTGTTTTATTTTTAATCGCAAAGTTTTGGGGTTACGATCAGAATTTTTTTTTCTCATTCTTTTTTTTTTTGCTAAGAGCGCACTAAAGAGTTTTAATTGAACTGGAGCTCGAGACATTGGATGGCATTGTTGCGCCAAATAAAAAGAATAATGCAGCAAACACGTGCATGGGTCCCGCGGGCTTGATTATTATTATTCCAGAAATAACAATTCTAGGGCAAGCGAAGCTTGAATCTTAGAATTAATTTAAAAATTGAACCAGATTACAAGGCGCACATAAAATGTTGTCAAGAAAAAAAAAAGTTTTCTTTTTTACTGCGTTTAAAGCACTAAAAAAAAGAAAAATTACAATATTTGTTTTCCTAAAAGATTGCATATCCTTATAATGGATGTAAAAAAAGTTAAAGAAAACAAATTTTTGATTAATTTTCTATTTAGCGAAAAGTTTAAAATTCGTTGGGGTAAAATTTAGTTTAGAGATCGTTTCAAGGGATTCAGAGAAAGAGAGAGAGAGAGAAAGACACGCCTTCCATAGAATATTTTTGTGCCCGTTTTACCATCGCGATATATATCACGAGGGTGTCGTAAATTGCAAAAAATCAGAATTACTTCAGTAACAACGTCACCACGAGCACTTATACATGCGATTGTATATAATACAGGTCGTGCCACGAAAGTGGAAGCTGGTTGAGGAAACGCCTACCAATCTGGCTTTTCCTCGGCACCTTTTCTCCTTTATATATACAGAGATGTTACTGGGCGCGATGAGGTAGATTTAATTCTCCTCTCAAAACGTAAAACCAAAAAATAAATTTTAAAAAGCAAAAGAACAAAACGTTTTACGCTTTAATGAAAAACGGTCTTATTTTAGCTTTTACAAATTGAAAATAAATAATTTCAAAAAATATACAATATTATAAACAGGTGTAAGATAATAGTTTATCATTATAATTTCAAAATGTCTCCAATCATTAAAACTCTAAGGATAATCGAGAAGTTTCCATAATTTAATGTTTCACATTGAAATTATTGATGGGAAATAGCCATAAGATTCTCATTACCCTGCAGCATATTTATTTCCTACTATACTCAAATTTTAGTATATCCTTCGAAATATCGATTATCTTGTATAATTAATTAAGTTTTTGATGTTCCCCTCTCTCTCTATTTTTCTCTCTCTCTAATAATAGATTAACTTTTTCTATAGCTGTATTTTAAATAATTAATATCAATTTTTTTTTATATATTTACAAAACTTTATACCTAAAGTATAAAATAGAATAATTGATAAATATGCGAATCAAGTTGTATATGCATCTTGGAATTCATATTAACACGAAAGTTTCTTAGATACTGAGAAGTGTGTGGTGCACATTCATTAACGAATATATTCCACTTTGAGACACGACATTCTATTCCACAACTATGTCACTTCGCCTGTGAATTGCCTTCCCTATAAAGTTCATCATCATTGGAAAAAAAAGATTAAAACTAATTGATTTTTAAAAAGAAAAAATACATCAGCAGTGCAAAAAAATTTGATCCAATGACAATAATGATTAGAAAAGAAGAAACAATATTGCAAATAAAACCATTTTTAAAAACAGTTTATTTATAAATTGTTTAACCTATTGAAAAAGTCTGTCAAAGGAAGATTTTTTTTTTTTCGTTTGCAATGCGTCGCGAAAAATACTAATACGATCTGAGTAATGGATCGATTTGCCTCGGGTTCTCGAAGCGAGTATATACATTTTATTATAAGAACTGAATCGCGATGCGAACGAGCTTAAATGTTTTTTCTATGTATATGTATATTAGACGATCGCGGATCGACATCGTGTGTCTCTGAAGATGCGATCGCAAAAAGCCACGCAAGCGAGGATCACGTGAATTTCAGCAAAAGTATAGACACGCCAGGGAGCATCGTTAGTATATCGTTATCGATAAACGTTGTCGACGCTTTATAGTTAAACGACAAACACAAAATTTCTATTGTTCATTACAAAATTTATTTTCTTTTATTTTCTATTATTTTTTTTTATTTTCTAAATTTATTTTATTCAAGTCAATTTCGATTTTCAATTTAATAATAATTTTTTCTAAATTTTGTCCAAAATTAAAATATAGAAAATTTTGAATATTTTTAAAAATATTATACTGAAGCTATATTTTGTTTTAGAACAGTTCTTCCGGTTTCTTTTAGCGGCAAATGACTATCATTAGCGACCATTACTGCCCCCCCTCTCTTATAGGCATAAAATCTAAGCATCTTCTAAATACACGGGAATATAATTTTGTTTTGCATAAAGCGGAGAAGAAGAAGAAGATACAGAATAACTATATTAAATTAGAGAGAATTCTTACGAATTTGATTGTCGGTTACAAATATAAATTTAATAATATTTGTCGGAATTATATTCTTTACCGGGTTCATTTTCTCTTATTAAATATTTTAACATCTTCGTTTGAGAATCGTTAACACAATTAAACAAGCATGAATTAATGAACAAACGAGAGGAAAGTATAAAAATATTTTACCTCTTTTCAAAAAAAAAAAAAAAAAAAGGAATAAAAATGTAAAATATTTCGAAACAATATTTTTCAATTTTAAAATTTTTGTGAACAAATTGAAAAAGAGTTGCAATTTCTTTTTTCAAAAAATTTTTAAATGTTTTCAACGCTTTTAATATTTCAACTATCTAAAAAATTTTTCCTTTTTTTATATTATTGCAAAATAGGGAATAGTCTCGTAAAAATGATCAACTATATGGTAAAGAATATTTCCGATAAATAAAATAGGTATTCATGACTAGTAAACCTTTCTAATAATAGTCTAGTTATTAGTAAATAATAGCATGTAACTAGGAAAAGTACATTGGTATTTGAGTCGACAGGAGCGCATATAAGTAAGGTTTATGTCTTTTATGGTATATATATATATATATAGGGACGCATCTGAATAATGTGCCAAGACTTCGAAACTGACGTTTGTCGTGGTAGTGCCTAGCGTGCGGTCTTATATACCTTTAAAACGTCTCACAGAGACTCTTTAACCTCCTGTCTTCAGGTTCATAATTGTCCTCGTCCAAAAAAGAAAATAAAAAAAAAAAATGTGACACTAAAAAAAAATCGCAACTAAAACAATCATTCCCTTGACAAATATATATTTTTTTCCCTTCATTTATCAAACTATATCAGTTGAAAAGTAATTATAAAAAATATTTTACTAAATTCAATTTAATTCGAGGGTGAAAATTATTTAAATAGAAAAAAAATTATTATTCTTAAAATAGAGAAAGAGAAATGCATGAAGACAATCGGAGGGATACATAATTTAATTTGATTTATACATACTGACGGTATTCGACTGTTTTAGGGCGATCTAAATTCATCGTGCTTTTACTCCTTAGTGACTTACATTGAAAAATGATATCGTTGCTATCTTATAAACTCAGAGCTCGAAACGGCGTGTCGTCATCATAAAAAAATTAACGACTTTAGCAATTCAGTTTATAAACACTACTGAACGGAATTTCAATATATTTTAAAGAGATTACAAGAATTTACAGAGAAAACTTTTACAATTATTACTATTTCGCAAAGAAAAATATTTTTTGGAAATGAATTTCTATCTCTACCTAAATAAAATTTTTAAATAAAAATTTCGAATTTCTATTGATTTTTTTAAATGACAGAATTTTCATTTATCCGAAAATATATTAAATTTTTTTCTATAAATTTTCATAACCAAGAGTCTCTAATTTTATTGAAACAAGTGTTTCGCATCTAGATAATCAGCATTAAAAAAAAAAAAAAAGTGTACGTGTGAGCGCAATCGAGCAACAAACTACTGGCCGACTTCCTAGCCCTTCCACCTTGTTGACTTCGAAATGATCCTTCGCGAAAGAGAGGAACAAGAAGGAACTTGGGTGTGAGAAAAAAGCTCTCGAGTTTTGAATATTCATCGGATCTTGTCGGTTTTCACTATAGTCTTCAACAACGTCTGCACCTGACCTTATTTTTTCTTAGTGTGTAAAAAAAAAGTTTCAGAAAGAAGATTTCCTTTTTTTTTTGCGTTGACAATAAAAACTGCTAGCTTAATTTACAGCGAATGTGACAAACCATTGTCAGATTATATTTATATCGTGGAGAAGAGAGAGAATATAAATCTTAATTGAAATTTCTGCTCCAGTTTTTTTGCCTTTTGAATATATTGATTTTGAGGAATTCAAATATATCAAAGAGTTCTCTTTTACCCTACTCACTATCTATTGTAGATAAAAAGGAATACCATTTTTTCCTTAAACGAAAAGTCTACTAAAAAACTGAATCTTATCATTCTCTACACTATCGACACTTGATAAAATCTATTTTACAAACTCAATTTTTTAAATATTCTTTTTGTTATTCTATTAAATTTTAAATATTTAAACGGTTTTGTAATTTAAAGAAAAGAAAACAATTATTTCTCAATATTTCAATTTGTAGGAACGATTTAATTATTTTTCAAGAATAGAAATAAATTAAATACTCCAAAAATTCTACATTATTAAGAATAATATTACAAATAAAGTAATATTTAATTAATTTATTATTAATTATTATTAATTATTTATTTAATCAATAAAATTGATTTCTTTTCTAGAAAATAATGTCTGAAACGTTGAGAAATAAAATTGGTACAAGTTTCCTTTTTTCTGCTCTTAATAGCATCGTAAATTCAAAATTTGCATATTTAAAATTAAATTCGTTTTAAACTATTTTTATCAATTAAATAATATAAGAAATTTTTTTTATTGACTCACCGGGATAGTCGCAATCGTGCTCGTCACTACCGTCATGACAGTCAACTTTGTAGTCACATCGTTGAGATTCCAAAATACATCGTGAAACATCGCAGGCAAATTCTCCAATGCTGCAACCTGGAAAAAATTTCAATTTATATTAAAACAATTTTTACAAAATATGAAAATAATTTTATACGCAGATAAACTTATTTTCCATTAAACAACAATACATGATATAAATCTCATATATATGATAATTATTCAAATTATTAATTTATAATAATAATTAATTAATAATTTTTTAAATTATTAATTAATTATTTAAACAAATTCATCGACATATGTACAAGTTATTAAAAAAAAGATTATACATTTATAAAAGAAACATGAAGCATATAAATACGAGAACAATCATGCGTAATAAGCAAAATACAGAAACGAATAATTAATTGCATTTTAAAAATTTAAGCACTATTCAGTTAAATTTTTTTTTTCCCCATCCACCGACCAATCGAAAAGGTCGTCTTATACCTGGATGTGGACAATTTTCTTCATCACTTCCATCGTCACAATCAGGAATACCATCACACATTTGAACACCACAAATACGTCGACTTCCATCGGGACATGTTACTACATCATCTGCTCGACATTTATTTTCTATTGGTCTGTATGTTGTATTGAACAATTGGTTAGAATCCGTATCTTCATCTTCATCTCGAACATGCTCAGTTGCTATGATGTCAGTATAATATTTTTTTGTTTTTGTTTTTTTTTAAATTAATTACAAAAAAATGGGATAAAAGAAAAAAAATTTGACATTTATTTTAAATTTACTTATTCATTTTTTAAAAATATAAAATTTTTTGAGATAATTATATAAATGATAAATGGCTCAATTTAATAATAAAAATTATTTTTAACATGATTTGAAAAATGTTCTTTCAATAACTGTCAATTATTTAGTCTATTAAAATGAATAATTCAAATGATTTTTTTTTGCTGACTATTTTTAAATTGAAAAATGAATAATTATAAATAAATTCTTTCTAGGTAAAAAGCACAATTTGTACAATTTTAAAAGAAACGAGCCAAAATTAATTGAAGTTGACAGTAGTTGTGAAAAAAATTAATAAAAATTAAAACAGTTGTTACATATATTTAGTTTAGTCACATTTAATAAGAGATAAATCTCATTTGATTTGAGAGTTGTGGGACATTTTAGAAATTAGTAAAAAAAAAATTATTATTAGGACAAAAATCAAAAAACGTATAATTTCCTGTTTATAAGAAAATACGTATCAAAAAATTATATAATGCTCTTTGTCGGATTAAATTTAATATTATGTAAATATATCGAAAATACTCACTTGAAGGACAGTCCAATTCATCAGATCCATCACTACAATTTTTTATACCATCACAACGTGTATGAAGAGGAACACATGTACCACTACGACATGTCAATTCCGTTAAGCTGTTGCATTCATATGAAGGTTCGCCTACTCCTAGTTTTTTTTCAGGTACATTCAACAAGCCAAATCCAGATGAAAATCAAACATGTAAAGAATTAAAAATAAAAAGGCAAAATAAGATTATAAAAACTTAAATGAAAAAAATTATTGCAAAAATAATTAAATTTATATAAAGAAGAAAATAAAATAAAATTAATATAAACTTTCTTCTTTTGCTTGAAAAATTTAATTATACATTATAGGTGTCATATAAAATTTATATAAGGAGATATAAATGAGATAATATTTAATTTAATATTAAAATATTGGTACTTAAAATTTATCTCTATGAAAAATTATTATCAATGAAATAAAATTCTTTATAATGAAAAATAAAAATATGTATTTAATGTTATTAATATCTATTTATATGCAGTTAAAAATAGATGAAAAAATATAATAAATTAATGATTTAAAAAATAATTTAATAATTAATTAATCAATTAATTAATTTTGAACCGATTTATTCAAAATTTTTTATAATTTCATATTTTGGTAAAAAAATTAAATTCATGAATACTTTGCATTTTTTGTGAAAGAAAACGAATTTTAGTTCCAACACTATTCTTGTAAGTAGTAGTGTCAATCAAGTGAAACTTGAAGTGCCAGTCTCACTATGACATTACACTACTACTTACGAAAAGTGAAACGAAACGATGATTTTTTCACACAAAAAATGGCTAGTAATTTTTATTTTCTAACTAATTAACATAAATAACTGCATATTAAATAAATTTTACATTTTAACTAATAAAAAATATTTAATAGCAAATTAATGTAAAAAAAACAATTTGTTTGTTTACATTCTTAAAAAGCAAAAACTATTATAATTTTCTAAAAAAAAATAATTAGCATAACATTGACATAATTTTTTAAATGCTTTTAATGATTCATGCATTTTTAAAACTAATTCTTGATTTATATACATATTTCCATGCATGTACAGTAATAAAAATAGAAATCATCCTAATGAAAAAATTAATTATACTAATAAATATAAAAAATAAATATATAAATAAAAACTATGAGAAAATAATTAACTTACCTTGAAAACTACGGAATGAAAATCCCTCTGGACTCACTTGGATATAACCCAAACTGTGGAGTTGCAGATTTGTTTCAAGAATGTTTCGCACCTCATCCTCGTTAGAAATTGAGGTTCCAATGTCAAGTGTAACTTGAGACTTGAAAGCGTCGGTTGTATTTCTGAAAATAGACGCATTTTATCTTTATAATATATATATATATATATATATATATATATATATATATATAGGTATACATAATTCATATTAACACCAAGTGAGATAAATTTTACAAATAATATATATAGAATAGAAAAATTGTAAACCGATTAGTCACAAAAGAAATCAAATTGATATATATATATATATATACATTTTTTTATGAACGTCTTATCAATATTGAAGAAATGACTATATCTTTATAATAAGAAAAATTCTTACTCTATCTTGACGACAGTGACATGTGTAAAATCCTCGGGTGCTTCTTTTTGATATAATCGTGCTAATGTTTCTGTTAAATTGTAACTCAATGCTTTGTATTCCTGGGAATTTCTATCAGCATAGTCCCTTCTGTATGGCTCGCCAATTGTAAGAGTAGCTCGATAAAATCCTAGAAAATTACAATTTGCATTATTTCGACGCATTAATTTAAATTTAAAAAAAACGAATTCTTTTTGAGTCTATTTTTTCCATAAAATGTTATTAGTATTTTCCCTCTTGTTTCCTTGATAAATATTATTTGATACTTTTATATTATTTTTATCGTTCAGGTATATTTATTTAAAAAATACTACTTAGAAGAAAATATAAAATTTTACGTAAATCGAAAAATCTGATTTAAATAAAAAATCGTATTTAAAAATTTGTTTTAATTGATTTTTATTTGCTATTAAATTATATATTTTATTGATTAATAACTCACTTGTCTTTTTCGAATCAGTTCTTCTGGGTGGATCCAAATCAATGGCACTTCCTTCAGCCTCTCCTGATCCAACAAGATCTTCATCATCACTTGTTCGATACCTGGTTTCTGTCCGTCGACTTTCTGCCATATGTCCAATGTCATTTGATTGCTGTCATATTTTAATATACAATTAATCATTTCGTAACATTTAATTTTTGTATGTTTTTGTTTTTTAATAAAATTGAGTTTTTTCATTCAGATATTTTTTATTTATATTATTTTTTTTTCTATTTACTGAAAAATTCAACAAAAAAAAGTTCCAAATAGGAATTTATGCAATATTTATAATAAAGAAAAATAAATTTTTGAAAATTATTCTTTTTTTCATCCACTTACATCGTTTCTATGTTCTTCATCAACCAAAGATTCTCCATCATAGATGGTATTTTCTTCACCGCTTTCCCGTGCCACTCTGTTTGACGAGAAATTATTTCCATGATCGACGGTATTTTTTTGAGTTGTACTGTCTTTGAAAAGCGTTTCATCATCGTCAATCAATGGAGCAACAATCTCTTCTTTTTCTTCTAGAAAAAAAAATATTAATTTAATATCTTAGAATCATATTTAATAAAAATTGCAAATCAAACTAAAAATTTTAATTCTTCTTAAAAAATGCTATAAATATTTTACTAAACCTGGAACGACTGTAGTAGTTGTTGTTGTCGTAGTCGTTGAAGCTGATTTCGAAGGAGATGTAAACCAATCTAAAAATCCCCGTTTTATCCTTTGCAAAATAGATTCATCCTGATGTTTCACTACAAGAGGGATTTCAGCCTCAGACAGTCTATTTTCAGCAAACACCAAATCGTCATTCTGTAACAAATCACAAAAAAGGAATTAATTTTTCTCAATTTAATCCCATCAATCATTTCACATTTTTTTTATATCTTTTTATCAAAAATAAATTACCAAAAAAACAATATTTATTTTAAAAAAGGTATTTTTTATGCAAAACAAAAGATATTTAAAATAAAATCAGCCAAATATGAAAGAAAAAAGAAAAGAAAAGAATTGCATCTTTAGATGCATTTTGTCTGACTTGTGAATCAAACAGACAGAGAGACATGCATTGCTTATAAATGTGTGTGTTTCATTTATATACATGTGTATACGGACATTTATATTTGAGACCTGAAACGCATAAGGTCGTATCTCCAAGTATTCTCACGTGCCTCTCATAAAGAACCAATTCGCACCTAAACATACGATATAAATTCAAGTTCGGTGAGCCATTCCGTTCGAATCTTCGTCGTGATTCGTTCAACTATATATATATATATAGGGACTTAAAACTGCCCACCAGATACTTGAGGTCAATGAGGTATTTTGCCAAGAAATTGATGAACCATAGACAGCTTCTTTTAGTTCAAAAAGAAGAAAAATCGCTAAATCGTTTTATATATCTATAGAGGAATTTTTAACTTGGTTATATATATATAAACACGAATGTCCTAGCTTTAAAACAAGAACTTTTCTCAAAAAAGGCAGTAATAAAATTATTAAAAAAAAATAAACATAAAAAAGAATAATATAAATTCTGGGAAGAATATATATCAGGTAGTATATTTTTTCACGAGTTTCTTTCTATTGAGAAGAATTTTATCCTTCATTTTATATTTCACTGTTTTTTTTTATTGCTTCTTCAAAACAATGAAACTAAAAACAATTAAAAATATGCGTTGATTAATCATATAAATAATTCAATCTGTAGAAAATAACTTTAATTAGTAGTACTCTCTAAATCTGAATTAGTAAAAATGTTTTACTAATTGAAATTAGTGACTCACTTTTTGCTTTAGAATTAGTTAAATTTTACTAATTGTTAGTAAAAGTTACTAATAATTAGTAAAATTTTACTAATTCAGAAGCAAAAAGTGAGTCACTAATTCAAATTAGTAAACATTTTTACTAATTCAGATTTAGAGAGTAAAATTCTCTAAAAACTGAAATTTAATTGAAATTGAAAATTTACAAAATTCGAAAATAATAAGAATATTTTAAAAATTGTTCACTATAGAATTTCACCTCTTGAAACTTGTGACAATGAAAAGATTTTAATATAATGTCTATTCAACAAAGCTGTTATATTAAATTACGTTATGCTTGCTGTCTATAAGATAGCAATTCAAAACCGGAAGTTACAGATCCCATAAGATAAAAGATTCCAGTGAGTTTTTTTTTATAATTATTTTCTTTAAAATATAATTTATTAATTAATAGTCAGAATATGGATAAAATTAACAAAACAAAAAAATTGTAAATTAATAAATGAATCGAACAATAAATTATTAAATTCTCTTTTAGATATGAAAAAAAACATTTGATAAGATTAGGCGCCTTTAAAATGACGTTTATGAGATGATGAAGTCATACTTTCGAATTACATAATTTGAACTTGCTTCTAATGAGGATAACGACATCACGCCTAGCATTTTATTAATCTTAACTCGAGCAACGCTAAATGTTTTTTCACGATACTTATTGTTATGATAGTTACTTTTCATGAACAAAATCAATTTTAATATAATAATTTTTAATAATTTAAATACTAATAATTATATAATTATTAAAAAAAAGTTTAAAAAAAAACGCCACAGAGAATAAAACACGTAATTCACAAGGGGTATTAAGATTGTTAATTTTTTCCAGCTCGACTTCATATATAAAAAAAATAAAAAAAAGAGGTGAGATAAGAAGGCCTCTCTACGGGACATGGATGTAGGAGAGACGAAACTTTGTTATTCTGGACAAGTTTTACGTGGGATTTTCCGACTAAGTCCAGGATCCTTTTCGCAAGAACTACTACGTGCTCATACTTCGACAAAACATGTCCTATCATCCAAAATCCTTAAGATGCATGGGAGATACGTGTGTTAAAAGCCATCTCATAATTTCGCATTCCAATCATCGACATATATTTTCCCTTTTTGACACAAAAGAAAAAATATATGTCAAACTAATTAATAAATTTACGATATAAATTTCAGAGATATTTGTGAAGAGATACAAGATTTTTTTTTTCCCCTTTTTTTAAAAAAAAATATTACTCGTCCTATATTTGGAAAATATATTTACTTGCTCACAAGAGGAAAATTTCACACTCAACTCGTAAAATTGTGTGTAAATATTAAATTTTTGAAACACAAGTTGGTATTATAAAAAAGCGTTCTAATTTAATTTAAAAAAAAAAAAAAAGAAAAAAAAAATTCCCAGGTGTGTTGTATACACACAGAGAAAAACTGCTTTGATTCCCGCATCCATTGATATTCAACGACGATTGAAATAATCTAATTCATTATATATAAATACGAGAGACAGATATAACCTTTTAGCTTTCGTGCAAAAACATATCCTACCAACATTCTGTCACTATTAATTAACTCTAAATAAATTAGCACCTTGACTATAAAAATAAAATTAGAATAAATATTTCAAAAAAATGTTTCACGATAAAATATATATTTCGCATATTTCAAAAAAAGTATATAAATTAAGAAGAGTTATAAATCTGTTTTAATGTCTCAAAAATATTAATGGGCAAATACTACTTTTATATAAAAGAAAATAAAAATATTATCTACCCGAAAAAAAGAAGAGATATAGTTATGTACTTATAGAAGAGTTCGTCATGATTCTCAGGTGTTCGAAGGAGAGTATGATATTATAGATGGAAGTGGAGAAATCCCCAATTTAAGGGACTTCTCGAGGGCGTCAACTTAACGAAAATATACGTTAGCGTCGTGCTTGTGGGGAAGGTGAAAATGAGTGTGTGTGTGGGGAAAAGAAGAAGAAGAAGAGAGTCCAGGAGGCGATCGTCTTTTGTCTTAAGCCAGGGGGGTATATTAATGTGAAGAACATGCTACACGACCGTTGAAAAGAGCAAGTACCGTCGACAGAATACTAAAGAGGCATCGCCAAATCTTTCGAAGAAGACCTCGTTTAACCGCGCCTTTGCATTTTAACAGCCTCTCGCGCCAAGATGTAAGAGAGAGAGAGGGAACAACTTATAAAGAAAACTGAGGGAAAAAAAAATTGCCTTAAGACAGATGGCAACTGAGGAAAAAAAAAGACCTATTGAATCCTGTCAAACAAATTGCCAGCGAGAAAGTTACACGACTTTTTTATATACCCTCTTCATCACGCTAATATCTCTCTAAAATTTTAACAAATTTTTTCAAAATAGTATTATTTACTCTATTTCTTTTTTTTCCCTCGCATTTAATTATATATATATATAAATTTTTGCGCTTTGAAGAAAATCTGAACACGTGTGCTGATTCCCAGAGAGAAAAGAATCGCGATTTACACTGAGATTCTGTGCGAGGATGATCTTATATGAACTTTCATATCCTCTAGCGGTCACAAGTGGGATTTTTTTTTTTTTTTTTTTTTTTTGTCAATTCTTCCAACTGTGCACTCCAGAGAACTAAATTGCGGAAGCTAAAGAAGACTTTTGTTTTAGTCATTCTATATAAAAAGAATATATATAACTACACATATATATATATAGCTAAAAAATATATTTCTGTATATTAAATGTATAAAAAATTATTAAAGCTCTTCTTTTATTTTGTAAATCTCTAATAGAAAAAAAGATTCCGGAAAACTTTAAAGTCTATAAACGAAATTATCATAATTTTAAATTAGTTTTTTCCCAAAAATATAAATATTAAAATTTAGTTAAAAAACTAAAACTATGTCAAAAAAAAGTAAGATAAGTCTTTAGACCTATTTTCTCTCTCTCATTCTCTGAAAATTTTTTCCTTGTTTTTTCACTGTTCCCTCTGTCTCATTTTTTTTTTCTGTGATTTTCCCATTCTTTGGCTTTTTTTCGGGCGGCACGAGCAAGTGAAACCCGAGGCGATGAGTGGCGGTCTCTCAACAAATTACGAAACTCACTTACCACTTATGTGATCCTTCATATATATATATCACATCGTACCAACACACGACGACAACCCCTTTAAACACCTTAAACGTTCCACAAGTAGTCTAAATTACACCCCATATAAAAAAATCTTTTTATCTAAAAATTAAAAAAAAAAAGGATCGTTAATTCTTAATTACCAATAAATAAAAAATTGTAAAAAACAATCAGATATTATTTCTATACAATTTTTTAATAAAAAAAAATATTTATGTTGAAAAAAGAAGCACGACGAACTTATGTGAGTAGGAACTCGGCCGTAGTATATATAACTTTCCGAGATGAAACAAATGCTTTGTATTCTTCTCTTTTATAAACATTTGAAAATGAACGCTGATCCAAGAAGAGACACAGAGAGAACAAAATAGAAACAGAAAGAAAGAGAGAGAAAAAAAAATAGAAAAAGTTGAATAGGGGTGAGAATATATAAGACTATATATATGGATGAAAGATTGGTTGTGTACATATCAAGAATATGTATGTATATATTTTTTTACAAAAATACCTAATTTTTTTTTTCCAAATATAAAAAAATTAGATTTTGAATTCAAATAATTCTATTTTATACAGAAAAGTATTTTTTCCACAAATTTCTAATTATATATTATATGTAACATTTTCTAAAAAATTTCGCTTCAACCAAATATTTACAAGTCTGCTTCTAAAAGTCACATTATTTCAGCGCGTTTAAAAAAAAAAAAAAAAACATTTCACCCGCGCGAAGTTTAGAAATGTTTACAGAAAACGTTAAACCATGAAGTTAGTATCTAAATGACAGAATTCTCTTCAAACACTTTCTATTTCACACAAAATGATTTAACACATTAACAAATTTTATTTGTGTTCAAAATTTTTCCCCTAGTTTCAAAAAACTTTTTTATAAAAA